ATAAAACTACGTGATTTCTCTTTTAAAATTTTTGTTTTTAAACCCAAATATGAGAGGAAAAGTTAAACGAATTTCACACACACAAAAATATTAAATAAATAATATAAAAATTAAATAAAATATGTTCATTTCATCGATTTTATTTGTTTTTTTCTTGATGCTGCGTTTTGCATATTTTACCAATTAAATGTCTTCGTTTTTCCTTCACCAAACGATGCTTTCTTGGATCGAGTTGAATTTCCTCCCAAAAGTTCAAGGCTTTATTTAGACGCAATGAAACAAAATAATCCATAACAATTTTATCCTATCTGAGAAAAGTCTGTCTAAAAATAAATTGAGGTGGCGTTAATGTGGGCGGTAGGATTCGGCTGTCCCCTTCTGTGGAATTGATAGAATTCAACAATTCTTTGAACATTCATTTCAACTTTCGTATGTTTTAATATACAGTTCATATTTATCTCCCTGAAAATGTGTTTTTGCCCCCTCCTCCCTAAATTGACTGACAGATATGACGTAAAATCAATAAATTATATATCATGGAATTTATATTTCTAGAATTACAAAAGTAAAAAATTCTTAACTAAGAAGCAATGTATTGTTATACCTTAGCCTTCTTTCTCATATTAATTCTAAAGGTATGGCGACTCAGTTATTTTCCATTCAATGCAAATTCAAACAGTACTTTTTTTTTTATATATATATATATAGTTGTAACATTGGATCACACGCCTGATATACCAATTTCCTAATTATATTATTAATTTAAACAAAATTATATTTCCTCGAATTTTTCGAAAAAATTTGAAGTTTTCGAAGTAGATATATGTTTCAAGGTATCCAGAGTGCAAATAAACAAATTTCTCAAAAAGTTCTATGAAATAACCTAAAGGTCATTTAAACGGAAGAACATTTTTTGCAGTTTGAAAACAAATTTCGGGAAATAAGATTATTGATATATTGATGTATAATATACCGTCAGCAATCTCAAAAAATTAAGACATAGATAACATTTGAAATTGTAGCAGCGGCTAACGAAAAAAAAAAAAAAAAAAAAAAAAAAAAAAAAAAAAAAAAGCGAATTATTACACTGTTTCCAAACAACAACTATACATCAAAAGTAACATCACTTTCCTTGTATAATAAAGGAAAATAAACAAAATATGATTCTTGTTATTGGCCTAAATATTTGTTTTTACTTTTTATGTAGTTATTATTTGTATTTATTTATTAAACAAAAAAATATTCTTGGCGTATTGTTATGTTTGTATTACTGGTTTGTTTATGTTAGCGTTATCTCATGTGTACGTTCTGTCTGTTATCTTCTCTTATTTATATTGTTTTATCTATTTCTTATTTTTCTGCTGTAATTTTATAATTTTTTAAAAAAAATCTGCTCTGATGATGATTGCCATACGCTTGAGTCGAAACGTGGGCAAATTTAATGAACAACACAATAGTTAAATTTACTTATGATGTTTCTTTGAACTGGTTCGTATTATAAGAAACATCCTTGCAAAATAAATGAATACAAGCAGACATTTACATGGTTGTTTTTTTGTCAGACCTCGACATGATCCGGTGACCTGAAAATATTTACCCCGTCATTGACCTTGTATAAAGAGGGTTATCTCTCGTGGTGACCCGGAGTATCGCTTGAGAAGGGACTGGCCTTCGTGGGGGTTTCCTGGGGTTATCCTAAGCGAATTTTCGCTGTGGTTTATTTCGTTTTTGGCAATATACTTTGGAAAATATAACTCATCGCTTACTGTTAGTGCAAAAGGTCACAAGAATTTTCCTATTTTATTTCTATTAGTGCATTTTGTTGCCTAGTACTGCAATAAATAGTCTGCTACTATGGAAAATTGGTACAGAGAAATAAAATATGAAATTATACTAATCATAAATCATAAGAAATTATTAGTTTTTATGCTCATTTGTAAAAAACTCAATTTTTATATACGATCTTCTGTGCTAACAGTAGCTATATGTAACGTTTTCGGCAAAACGTTAAGATAAAAGCGTTTAATAAATGTAATAACTTTCATTTCCATTATAGATTTAAATAATTAACTGTAATCTTATTATTATTATTAATATTATTTCTAAAAGGTGTTCTTTTTTTTTTTTTTTTGGGTATGCCATAACTTCGTCAATTCTTCATCAAATCCACTGGCTGACCACTCATTTAGAAGATATTCTGCTTCACATGCGAAATAGTCTACATACTTATAATTTCTATAAAAAAAGTAATGAAGTAAAATAAACTTCATTTGCGAATAACTCAAAAAGTAGACATTTTTTCTTGATTTTACCAATGGTAATTAGAAAGATTACTAAATTTTCTACAAAACAAAACAAAAATCGGACAATTATTAACAAAGGTACATTAGTTTTGGTATCCTTAATAATTTCTTTCTCTTTAAAGATATTTACATTTACTACTCTACTTCCTTTTTTTCCTGGCTGATATGTACTTTATATATTTTTCAATAATTTAGAAAATCCCATGATCTAGTCTGTATTTTGAATATTACCTTTCCAGTCTACGTTTAAAAGTAGGACCAAGCATAGGAATGTGTACAAATATTTTGGTCTATTATGTTAAATAGAATATTCTAATCGACCAAGGAAAAACAATTCATTCCTCGTAATACATAGGATTTACTTATTTCCAGAATGTTTTACTATTCCTTCACCATAAAAAATTTTCTGCCAATTATTCGTACGGGCCAACTGGTTATATTGATTTGTAATCAAAGTAATGCGGTGAGTGACGTGTGATGTGCACGCCCCACTAGATTTTCTTTTGTTCTATAAAATTCATTTGAAATGAATTCTAGTTAGCCGAGTCAATGACTTGCAAACACTTATTTTAACTATCTTTTTTTCGATAGCGGTAAATGTTATTGAGTGGTCAGTCAATCGTGGTTCCTCCTATCTAACTATAAAGCATGCTCCATTACTTTTTGTATCATAGTTAATCGCTTTTCGAAACCGCAAGCAAAATAATAGCTTGTATAAATTGAAATATTTTCTTGGTACGTTGTGGATACATCAAAATTCTATAGTTTATGCTGTAGCAAAATACTTGCATGTTGGCTTAATTCTATCGAAAATTCTTTTTTTCTTTTCACCCTCGGGTGAGCTCGGGTTTGGTTGTTCCCTAAAATATTTAATATTTGAATTGATGATTCAATTTTTTTAATATTGAATGCATATAAACACTCCTTGGGCAGCTGCATAATATATTTCACTATCGCCATGATATTAATTGTATCTTTAATCTTTAGTTTTGACAAAATATAAAATATTAAAAAATAAAATTTATTAATTTTGAATGAAAAGCGTTCGAAATTAATACTATATAACAGGTCTCTAGACTACGGCCCGCGAAAGTTTCATTGCTTTCGCATTAAAATTTCAAAAACCATTAAATTATGAAGAAGAATAATATATAATATGAAATTTAGTAAATCATCTCAGGATTATTACAGCTTTTATTGCACGAGTTATTTTTGAACCAAGTTAATCGACTGTTCCATATATCTTGGGTGGTAAATAGTCAAAATGGAGTTAGTTTTTAAAATTTGTATTGCCAACGTTTCAATTCAAGTTTGTGGGTCGTCATCTGTACTGAAGATGTTGAAGTACTTGACTTCAGTACTTGAACATCTTCTGTACTCTGGTAACATTCACTGATGACTCACACTGATGTTTTTGTATAAGATATAATTTATTTTTCAGATATAATTTACGGTGCACCTGGCCAAGAATTCACTCGTTAAGATGTTAAAGAATGTTAAATTTTGCAACCAAATTTAGTACCACAATTTAGTAATTGGGTGAAGCGTTGTGATTAAAAAAACTCGGTTGACAATCGAAAATTTTTATCAAAAAACCGTGTTCTATTTCTATATATGACACTTATGAAATGAACTTACTATGAGAAAAAAAAATCATGCTATAAAAATTGTAATAAGCTTGTGTTTCAGTGATTTTTAAAACATGACATTGGCACCCTTTTAGGGAATAAAATAAAAATATATTTTTATATTTATTCTCCTCCAAGCATGTGTGACAGTGTGACATAAGAATGAGTCCTGCAGAATGATTTTTTTAACTGCAATACGTAAATGAGAATAACAAAAAATAAAAACTGTACCACAACAACCTAATATATGAAGGATCTTGGATTCAGTACTGTTTCTTGGTCATTGGTTTTGCTAGGAAGTGATTTGACCAAGATCACGCTCAACTGTCAGGTTTTTAAGTTAATTAAGAGTACCCTAGTTATAGATGCTAGATTTTGCCCCAAGAGGTTCTCCCGACTCCAGGATCGATCCACTACAGATAAAACTGAATAAATATCTGCCAACGGCCGGATTCGGACCCGAAACCTTCAGCTCTGGAAGTCAGCGTCCAACCCACTGAGCTACTCCGCTTCCTTAAAACGAAAATTAAAAGCCAACATAAAAATCTAACAGCATCTACCGTCCAACAGTCTCCTGAACAAGATCATTATTTTATTGATGTTGTTAGTTAGAGCAGTGTTAAATTAAATACCCCATTGGATATATTGAAGTATATTTAATATACTTATGAGTTTTATTACTTTTGGTTATTGATTTATATTTATCATATTGTTTAAAATAAATTTACCATGTAATGAAAGAAACTTACGCGTGCCGGAATGGAGGTTATAGTGTAGTTTAGAGATTTCTTTTCTAAGTCAGTTTGTAAAAATCAAGCGCGTACTTATTCCTAGTTGCCCTGATTGCAGTCGTATTACCATCATAAAAAGTATGAGTTACCTCGGATTTATTGTTTTACGAATGCCTTAATATTAGAATAAAGTTGGGACTTATATATTAAGCAGACGGGATCATCAGAGTTAGTTATGAAGTAGAGAAGTATTAATTAGCTTGTTAACCAACTAGCGGGAGGAGACTAATTGGTTACAGTCACGTGCTCTCTCGTCTTTTTATATTAGCGTCTCATCCTCAATGGTCAGCTGCTCCAGGATCTCGTCCTGACCATTCCTTCCTTCTGGGTCTGCTGTGCTGCATCCATTCAACTCGCCCCCTTTGAGATTCGTAACAATTATTTATTTCGGTAAGAAATGAATTTAACAATACAGACCTAAATTCCTTGCTCAGTTTGACCCTTGACCTCTCTCCACCGACTAAATCAGAATCAATACCCAGCAATACGGTTCGCCAACTGTTAGCAAATTTTGACTGGTGTGGTTTTTAAATTTATAATACAGTTGTCATGTAATAATAATTTTTTTTAAAAGATGTTTTTAGGAAACTTCATTTATCACATCGCTTTATAATCCAAACCTTGCTTATCATAAGTGATAAATAGTCAGAGCACAATAATTTTTAAAAATTTTGTTGGTGCCGACGTTTCAACCCATGCATTTAGGTCATCATCAGACATGCTTCGAGCACTGTCCTCAGCTAGCTTTTGCAAATCCTACTTCAGCTAATATTATCCATAATATGATAATGCAGTATGTATGTATATATATTTTTGAATGTGGTATACGGTCTTATCAAAGTCAGGACTATACTATTTGTCTATGCATCGTTATTATGCTTTCAACACTGCGGCAAATAATGGAAACTGGAACCTACTTGAGTAGTTCATTGCCTTTATTCGTAGCTTTTGGTCTAGAGGTTTCAATTTGTTCAAGTATAACAAGACTCTAATACTAATATCCTTTACGAATTATTCGCAGCGGCCAGCTAATTAGGATATGATAGTATAGCAGAGGGTAAGAAGATGGAGGTGATGAGCGGTAAGTAGGTACGAATTGCTAAATTTGTTTTTCCCCTAAGCGACGTTTATCGGGCCACTATCGGTGAAGAGAAGCGTGCTTTAAAAAACGCTTTGTCCCTGGCGACGAGAAGTGAGAAAGGCAGCTGAATAAAATGTAAATGTGGGCCGCCTTGGTAGACTTTAATGGTATTCACTCAATAGTCCTCCCTCTCCCACTCTCATACTTGTGTGTTCTCAGGAATTCAAATATCTTCTACTCTCCTCTTCCACTACAGTTATCGCCATCTACTCTTCCAATATATTCGCCTCGCCAAAATTTATGCAAAAGGAGGATTCAGCAAAAAAAAAAAAAAAAATCTTAACATTAAGGCCGACTATTGAATATGAGCGTGCAGATTCAAGAAATCTAATAAAATAGGAAAGTCTAATAAGGAAGTTAGTCCACTGTTCTACATATCATGATTGATAAATATTCAGGACGCAGTATTTTTTAAATTTTTGCCAACGTTTCAACCCAGCAGCAGTACTTGAACACCCTCAGTGCTCAAACCACTCCCTGAAGATGACCCACATGTTTGGTTAGAAACGTTGGCAAAAATTTAAAAAAGACTGCGTCCTGAATATTTATCATCCAAGGTGAAGTAATGTTATTTGGAAACTACTTACTTATGATTGAAACACTAATATAGAAAACTCTACTCCCTGGGACCAATGAGATTATGAATCCTCCAAAAGGATTCAGCGTCCCACACATGGACTGAAGTGTGAGAAGTAGAATAACTATACTAGTCCATGTTAAGGAACTCTTTTCAAGTTATTAACATCCGACTAAAACTTCTTAAATAGCTTAATCTCATCATAACCTACAAATATTTTATTTACGAAAATTCTGAGAATTGAGGCGTTTACAATCTCTAGACCGGCAAACTTTGTTTCATTAGGTAAAAAAAACTCATGAATACCCATACTCATGAATACCCCAGTTTTCCTCTTGAATCGTTATTTGTATTTTATATATATATTTTTTTTTTGTTATTAGGAATTTCCACTAATAGTTGTTTCCTTAACCTAAACATTGAATGGCTTCTTTCTATAATGTCCTATCTAAAGTCCATTCTTCCCGTAGACCATGAACCATGGATTACTCCACTTTGTTATCCGTAAATAATTTAGGCTATCGAATCGTAAAATAATAGGCTAAAGAAATCTAAATAAAAGGTGGTCTAGCAAAAGGGCCGTTTGGCCTACACAACCTTTCTATATTGGGGTCGAGATTACGCCAAACGGCCATTTTTGTATGCCTCCTTTTATTTCGATTTTTTAATCATATTATCTTTAAGATTCAAATGGGAAGCAAACGGATATTCAAGTTTTTAGCAACTAATTAAATAGACAAAATTTGGTAATCTCCAGTTTTAAAACGCCCCTAAGCTATTTACGAGGTTTTAGGCGGGTGTTGATAATTAGATTAAAAAAAGGTCTGTACCACTGACTACAGGAAAATTTTTGACTTAGATAATGCTCGTTCGGAAACATATGATTGGCCAATCATATCAAAGACCAATGGCCAATCTGTCATTTACAGGAGGTGGAAGAAAGGTAATTTTTAGTTTTGTAGGATCAGCTTAATGAACTGTTTGTGATAAGTTCATTTAAGAATTTTTAAGTTTAATTACTATTTTATTTTACTATTAGTTTATGTATGGATTATATAGGCCGTCTTTTCGACCCTAGAAAAATCATTAGGTCTAGAAATAAAATGAATAGACAGAAACATAATAGAAATATATAAATAAGATAAGATGTACATAGTAATATGCCAAGAAAAAAAAAATGAATCATCATTTGGGCCTTTCAGTTGACAGAATGGCTAACTCCAATATCCACATTTTTGTTATTAATTTTAATGATATTTTTAGTGAGAAAGTTTATACCTTTATTCACAGTTCTATATTTCAACACTGAAATTACTTACCCTGGAATCGACTTACACACTGTCTGTACAGATATTATAAACTTTTCAACTATAAATATCACTAAAATTACTTAACTTAAAACGTTGAAATTTGAATTAGTCATTCTGTCAACTGAAAGGCTCATGAATTACAAATCTAAAATAGATTTATAAAAGAAAAAGTGATGATTTATATCCATACCTCTATTATTTTATAATATAACAATAGGGACAGCATAGGATGGACTTCAACGGAAGTTTTGCGCCGACAAATAAATTAAAATATATATATATTAATAAAACGTAGGTGATATACCACTAGAGGTGGTAAAATTACATTTCTTAATAACTCAAGAAATACACAATTTTTTCTCAATGGTTATTTAAAAGTTATCTAAAAACCAAAACAAAAAAAAAAAAAATTGAAATTTGAGAATTTGGAGCAAAGATATGGCGTTCTAAATATGTTTTATATGTTCTACTGTACTGCTTACATCTTTTGTTTTTGTATTTGATTTTTTTTAAGATTTACATCAACTGAAGTATTTGTCTATTTTTAAAGCAAATTATCAATGAAATTATAAAGGCCGATGTTAGGAATCTCTTTTTATTTATTTTCCTTTATGTTACATGCAAAGTAATCTTAATTTTGATGTTAAATTATTTGGAAATAATAACCAATTGAGTAATAATTTTCATTGTTTTTGTTTAGCGTTCTCGCTATCAGAAATATTTTCTTAGAACTGGCGTAATTGTACAAAACAATTACTCCTGTTTTTGTTTGTATATAGAAATTTATCTATTTCGGTGAAACTCAAATAATACCTGAAATCAGAAGTGATAATATTTATATAATATGTCACTCTTATGAAATAGAAGTTGATTTTAACAACGATTACGCTTCTGGAACGGATTCAATTTCATCTATATCTGATTATCAGGAATCCACTGTACCTCTTTCTGAAGATAACATTATATTTGTTTATCTTTATTATGTTATTAATATTAACGGCCTAATTACCCTAACGATGACGAATATTTAGCTGTATATAAATGGTAAGTGAAACATTTAATTTAATTTAGATTATCTGTTACTATTACAATATTACTAGCATAAATTAAAAATACAGGCATAGCATTAAAATATAATTAATATTCATAAAATATTTGTCTAGTGTTTTTCACTTTTTTTTTTTAAATTAAACTGACGAGATCTCGCTGAATAATTTGAGCAATCAAACTCGAAATATTATAATATAGCATAGTCGGAATTCTACGAGCAACCATGTGTGCTACGTAGCCAAACACTATGCAATATCATCTCCACAACTCCCTAGTGTTCTACGTCCATCTTTACTGGCGTTGAATATAGAGTCTGTGGGACACGTGTTTATTAATGACTAACCGTTATTTTATGTTTAAACCAAACTTTAGTTTTTTATATGTATGGCATAGTCGGAATTCTACGAGCAACCTTGTGTGCTACGTAGCCAAACACTATGCAATATAATCGCCACAACTCCCTAGTGTTCTACGGTCATCTTTACAGGCGTTGAATATAGAGTCTGTGGGACACGTGTTTATTAATGACTAACCGTTATTTTATGTTAAAACGAAACTTTATATTTTTTTTATGTGTATAGCATAGTCGGAATTCTACGAGCAACCATGTGTGCTACGTAGCCAAACACTATGCAATATCATCTCCACAACTCCCTAGTGTTCTACGTCCATCTTTACTGGCGTTGAATATAGAGTCTGTGGTACACGTGTTTATTAATGACTAATCGTTATTTTATGTTTAAACCAAACTATTTTTTTTTATATAGCATAGTCGGAATTCTACGAATAACCATGTGTGTTACGTAGCCAAACACTATGCAATATCATCTCCACAACTCCCTAGTGTTCTACGTTAATTTTCAAAAACGTTGAATATAGAGTCTGTGGGACACGTGTTTGATAATGCAATCAGATTGATCGTTTTAAGATGTTTACGTCATACTTGCACGTTATTTTTGTACTTTTATTTGTTTGTTTTTTCGTAAAGGGCATTTTATGAATTCTACGAGCAACCTTTTGTGATGCGTACCCAGATAGTATGTAGTTGCAGCGGCACAGCTCCGTCGTTTTCTGTGTCCATCGTTAACGACGTAGAACATAAAGGCTGTTGGATAGTGCAATCAGGGTGATGGTTGTGTTATGTTGACATAATACTATTGTTTTTCTTTTGTACCATGGTAGGAATTCTACGTGCAACATTTTCTGCTTCGTAGCCAAAAACTATGCCAAATTAACTCCACAACAAGTGTTCTACGTTCTTCTTCAAAAGCGTAGAATATAGAGTCCCTGGGACACGTGTTTGATAATGCAATCTGAGTGATCTTTTTGTTTACGTCATACTCTTGTTTTTTATTATTTAGCATAGTCGGAATTCTACGAGCAACCATGTGTGCTACGTAGCCAAACACTATGCAATATCATCGCCACAACTCCCCAGTGTTCTACGTCTATCTTTATAGGGGTTTAATATAGAGTCGCTGGGACATGTGTTGGGTAATGACTAATTTTATTATCTTGAACATTTTTTGAACAATTTCTTCTTATTTAAAACAATGTGACCACAAAAATTTGATCTGAACTTCTTTATCATTCGGAATTGGCCCATGCATCAAATGACCTTTTGGTTAAAAGTTTTGTCTGGAATCGGCCCCAGAGTTTGGCCATTAAGAACCTGTATAACGGTTTTTGGTAGGCACTTTTTTATGTTTTATTCTTTTGTACATGTATGTTGCTTGGATTGACAAAGCAAGTAGTGATCGGTTATTCACTAATATCAGTGATTTAATTTTGGATCCTTATCTTACCGTTGTACATTGTGAATTTAGTTGAGTTTATTTCAATGGACTTTGACACGGACCGGTGCTCTCCTGTCGCCTGCTTTCTCTCTGGTATGTTAAGGACGGCAAGAGTTTTTCCGAAGAGGAGGGAAAGTTGGCAGACCTGGCGAGATCCGGGAAGAAAGCTGTGGTGGTGGGGAGGGGAGAGGCGGAAGAGAAAGCTTCGCCAGCATTTATTATAAATGTCTCTAAGGCAGTGGATATTATTATCTACCTTTCCTAATTGGATCACGGTTTGTTACCTGTGTCACTGTAGTTATCTCTTCAGCGAAATAAATACCCTATTTCGTTAATCTCCATCTATTTTTTTTTTTCTATTTTATGTTACATTACTTTGTGAGCTGTCTTTTTTGCGTATTTCATTTAATATTTTATAAGTTAGTGACCATCATATTTTATTTAAGTATTAAGATAGTAGAAATATAAAGAAAAAATGAGCTCAACTTTACATCTTAAGCCATCTAGGCTCGATAGTGCTGCTCTCCTATGGTGATTATTTTTCAAATTATGCAACTGATCAGTTAATTACATATGTGTTGAGCTCGTGTAACCTCCTATTCTCCTAGTACAAAATAGAGATTTAATACCCTGGCAACTTCGTTACGGAACATTTGTGTTGATCCTGCAACCTCCTATTCTTCTTAATAGAAAATAGAGATTATATAACAAATTTTTTATAGAACAAATTGTTATTTTATGTTAAAATCAAACTTTAGTTTTTTATATGTATGGCATAGTCGGAATTCTACGAGCAACCATGTGTGCTACGTAGCCAAACACTAAGCAATATCATATCCACAACTCCCCTAGTGTTCTACGTCCATCTTTACTGGCGTTGAATATAGAGTCTGTGGTACACGTGTTTATTAATGACTAACCGTTATTTTATGTTATAACGAAACTTTATATTTTTTTATATGTATAGCATAGTCGGAATTCTACGAGCAACCATGTGTGCTACGTAGCCAAACACTATGCAATATCATCTTCACAACTCCCTAGTGTTCTCCGGCCATCTTTACAGGCGTTGAATATAGAGTCTGTGGTACACGTGTTTATTAATGACTAATCGTTATTTTATGTTAAAATCAAACTTTAGTTTTTTTGTATGTATGGCATAGTCGGAATTCTACGAGCAACCATGTGTGCTACGTAGCCAAACACTATGCAATATCATCTTCACAACTCCCTAGTGTTCTACGGCCATCTTTACAGGCGTTGAATATAGAGTCTGTGGTACACGTGTTTATTAATGACTAATCGTTATTTTATGTTAAAATCAAACTTTAGTTTTTTATATGTATGGCATAGTCGGAATTCTACGAGCAACCATGTGTGCTACGTAGCCAAACACTATGCAATATCATCTTCACAACTCCCTAGTGTTCTACGGCCATCTTTACAGGCGTTGAATATAGAGTCTGTGGTACACGTGTTTATTAATGACTAATCGTTATTTTATGTTAAAATCAAACTTTAGTTTTTTATATGTATGGCATAGTCGGAATTCTACGAGCAACCATGTGTGCTACGTAGCCAAACACTATGCAATATCATATCCACAACTCCCTAGTGTTCTACGGCCATCTTTACAGGCGTTGAATATAGAGTCTGTGAGACACGTGTTTATTGATGACTAACCGTTATTTTATGTTAAAACGAAACTTCATATTTTTTTTATGTGTATAGCATAGTCGGAATTCTACGAGCAACCATGTGTGCTACGTAGCCAAACACTATGCAATATCATATCCACAACTCCCTAGTGTTCTGCGTCCATCTTTGCAGGCGTAGAATATAGAGTATGTGGGACACGTGTTTATTAATGACTAATCGTGACTAATTTTATAATAATATAATTATGACTAATCAAAATCGCTAACCTTGTGGCTTGTGGCTTCTGGCATGGAGTATCGAAGCTCGATAGGAAGCTCTGAAGTGGAACCCTTTCTATGTACAAGGAAAGAAGGGATCGAAACGGTTAACAATGAAAAACAATAAACTCAAAATTTATATAGTTTATTCAAATTGTAAATGACCTAACTCCCGAAAATAATAATTATTTCACAATATAATATCTAAATGTCGATGAAAAAAAAAAGTTTATATATATATATATATATATATATATATATATATATATATATATATATGATAATGAATAATGAATAATTATGAATAATAATGAATATGTGAATAATTACATTTATAATTAATACCTTGCCGTACCAAGTGATCTATTGCTCATTACGTTGCTTATTTTTAACAGTATCAGCCATCAAATAATTATAATAAAAGAGGTGCATTACTTCGAAGGTGTATTTTAATTCTTTCACGAAAATTGCATAGATTTTATATATGTATTTATTTCGATCTTATGTATTAAATAAAAATTCTCCTAATATATATCCTATGTCTAATAAAATTTATTGTTATACCTTGCCAATTTGATTATTAGCCACCACAGAATTTTATATAGAGAGGAAGAGATGTCTATAAGTTTACATAGTTTGTTGAAGTTTGTCGCAAAGGTCTTTATTAATTCAGGTTATTAACCTTAAGGAGACAAGTTTTAGCATCGGCATCTCAGCCGCAAGAATATGTGTTGAGTAACTTTGCTAATGTCTCAGGGAAACTAAATATTTGATCTTGACAAATCTATTAAATGTTCCTGAAATTGTTCCCCTTCCTTTAATGGGCCCATTTAGGTTTTTGTATTAAAGAGATAATTTTACATAGTTTTAAATTTTGACCTTGATATTTTAATTTCTGTTCACACTTCAGTGTATACCTCACCACATGTCAGTATTTATTTATATATCAATTAATAATTATCAGAAGTTAATTTTGTTTTTTATGATACTGACCTGTGAGGCATACACTTAAAAGTGAATACACAAAGATATTATAATTGCCATATAAGTTTTGACATTATTTATAAGTTGCCCTTAATTCTCAGCTATAAACATCTTAAGCTAATCTTTAATACTTTGATTATAGCTGTTAAAGGATAAAAACTTATTCGATTTTAATTTTTAGCCATTTTCTATAATAATAAAATCTTATTTAAATCTAGAAGAAATTTGATTTATGTTTTATCTTAAACTAGCTGATGTAACCGTCTTTGACGGGTGTATAGTTAAAATTTGGATTTGTATGGATTTGGATTTGAGATGGATTTTGTATTATGGGGAGGGGGATCCCAATCTAATTTCATAAAAGTGGGTAGGGAGGGGTTGTTTTGATTTTTTTTATGTGGCTTATGGACGTCAAAGTTTCAGAATAGTCATAATAAAAACATTGTTATTCGGCTATTTGTTTAGGTGCCACAGAACTAAACCGATAAATGTAATACCTAGGTTAAAAATTTTTTTTTTTTGTTTAAGCCTCCATTCCATATATTTAATCCCTCCATCCCCCCACACACAAAAAAATTATGTATATCCATATTTGTTTGACTTGGCTTGATAGAATGACACCTCAAGCAGATCAATTGGATAATCAGCGCGTTGACGCTTAAACGGAAGTCCGGGATTTCGGTTTTTCCCAGTGGGTTCTGGACCGGGATCTCTAGACAAGTTACTCGAGAATTCATGTCTTTAATTTTACTCAATATTTTGTTTTTACTCAAAGCATGTTTGAAAATTTCAAAAGTCTACCATTATCCATTGCTGAGTTTATCGCTGACAAAATAACATTTGACATTGAGTCACCTATATCCGTGTAAAATTATAACTTGATCTGAATATTGTAGTGGGCGGGACGGAATTTTTGGGATTTTTTTTTCCAATTTCCGGCTAACCCGTTTGACTATTCCTAAAAATGTAATGTCAAAATTTTAAAAGTCTACCATTAGCCTTTGCCGAGCTTACCCCTGACAAAACATCGTTGACAATGCGAACATCCAGACAGCCAGAAAATCTTTTAAAAGTGGATTTGGTGTCTGTAATGTATGGAACGGATAGATATCATAAAATGGGTTGATTCTATTCAATTTAGTGACAGAACCTTTATTTCATTTATATAGATTAAGTTAATTTGCAATTATTTAATGTGTAAATCAAACTTATATTTTAGAATTGACAAATTGCAATTATGACTGGAAAAAAAAGTATTAAAATGCCAACGTAATAATAAGCCTTGAATATTTGTTTCGAGTTGACAATTTCAGAACGCTTGATTCGATTCGTGAATTTCAAACGAAAGGAATTCCAAAAAACCAATAAAATTTCAGAATTAATAATTAGTAACAAATTATGTATGTATAAATATTCAAATCTTGCAATAGTAACATAATCATTACTATTTTCTGATATTACGTTATTAATTGGTGTTCACTATCTCGTCCCAAGTTCGGTCGATTTCAAATGTTTTTATCACTATCATAAAATTGCATGAAAAGGTATGGACGGTTTTCAACGGATATTTACGTTTCAGAGACACGGAGTCCGAAAAACACATTTTTGAATTTATTTTTCGATTTAACGTCTATACCGTCGACCATCAGAACCATTCGGCTCCTGGCTACCCAATGCAATTTGGACATAATGAAATTCTTGAGCTTTGATGCTTCCAATGCTAGCAACTGTGCCCGTCACATTAGAAAGATTTTTACTGAGAGCTTCAGGGGTGGATTGGAACACACTGGGGAGTACAGGTCGTTCATCTCATCCTACCGATACAGAGAGTATACAGACAGGGCTTTCCATTGCTTCAGTCATGTGCTAATAATAAAACTATTTTTTATTGATCTTATTATTATTAAAATAATAAAGTAAGCCGACCCTTAGTCTCCCGCATGTTATCTGGATTTCGACCTCGGACAATAAAAATACTTCTGTTCGTGGGATTGATTCTATAAGATAATTTTTTTTTTTTTCTAGAATAAAAAGAAAACTAAAATAAACTTTTTAACTGATGATAAGTATTTTTGTAAGTTATTTTATTGAATTTGGCATGATTACTGACTATCCAGTTTTGTCTGGTTACCTTGCAATATTTAGATATTTTATTAGGGAGAAAAAACATTTTAAGGAAAGACATTTAAAATGCTCGTTCAGAATATTATACAGTTTCCGGTCATCAATAGAATCGTAGGCTTTTTTTTAAATCGATATACAGCTGTTAAACAACACCGCTGTACTTTTCTCGAATATTTGTATCTGTAATTTTT